AGCTTCTCGGGCAGGGTGAGAATAAGGAGGAAGAGGGGATCATACCAGGATGTTGTTTATGGTGGCGATGGTAAGCAGCGCGCGCCGCTGGTTGCACCAAAGGATGGAGAGATTGGACCCCCCCCTTTCCAAAAAGAGGTACGTGAGAGCCCCCTCCCCCCCTTCCGGGCCTGCGGCTTGACCCCCCCCAACCCTTGCCTTCCCGGTTTCGGGCTTCGAGTTGAGCCTCCTTCTCTTTTTCACCTCCTCCTCCTCCTCCTCCTCCTACCTGCGCCCTGACCAGATCACTCGAATCCTGACCCCCCCCCTTTTCGGGCCGTCGTGCCAGAGAGAGCGCGGAGCTGCCCTTGGACGGTCGATTGCCTGATGTGGACGTGAAGGAGGAGGAGGAGGAGGAGGAGGAGGAGGAGGAGGAGGAGGAGCAGGAAGAGGAGGAGGAGGATGTGGAGGAGGAGGTGGAGGAGGAGGAGGAGAAGGAGGTGGAGGAGGAGAAGGAGGAGGCATTCTGTTTTCATCAATGTTCCAGCGCGTTGTGTCAGTCAGACTGCTTTTCGTCCCAATTTGCAAGTCAGGAGAGTTGTTGATGCCCTCCGCCGTGAAGGCGACGAGGGGCCACTCGTGCACGCCGTTCGAACTCCAAAGTGGAGTTGTCGGATTGACGAGTTTTGAAGATGCTGGCCCAGAGGTCCTCTCGGGAGGATACGCAGCCGGGTGCTGTGAAAAAATCCCCTGTGCTCCTCGACCTAGAGGTCGTCTTCCTCACTCCTCCCCTTCCTCATTTCCCTGTCTGACCCGAGCCATTTGGCTCAAGCCGTTAGGGCCGCTCACAGCCACCGTTGATACCGGAGACGGAGCCAAGTCTTGCCATGAACAACGCGTTCCTGGACAAGTTGGCGCTGTCCAGCCTGTCGCCCAGTTCAGGAGAGCCTGGGGATCTTCGAAGGGCAGACGAGGATGAGGAGGGGGACGAATCGATGATCCTCAGGACGTGTGTCAGCCCACTGTGCCAACGTGTGTTTGCCCATCTGAGTTTGACCGATAAGCACGCAGCATGCGTGGTATCAAAGGTCCCCCAGATGATAAGCATACATTCTGAAGAGCAGCGCAGCATGTGGAAGGTGGGAGGGGGCTAGATATGGGGGAAGTAGGAAGAGTGCGGAGAGGGCGGGTCGAGAGGTTTGACGTTATTATGGGTATTGCGGCTGTATTGGTTACGAAGTGCAAGACTTGCCTCGTCGTAAGCCTCAGGCCAAACACCACGATCGACTCTCTCAAGGTATCCACTGCGATTGCGAAGCTGGTTCTGTTTCATAGGGGTGGTTGGCGATCTGTTATATATATATATATATATATATATATATAGATATCTATATAGTTATATGGGTACAGGGCCGGGGGCCTTCTCCCAACGGCCTCGGGTCGCCATGGTGGCTCCGGGCTCCCTGGGGACCCTCTCCAGCGACCTCAGAGCCTCCCAGACGGCCTTAAGTGGTGCCACAGAGACACCAGAAGGCTTCATAATATCCCGCGGGGCTTCTGGGCCACCCTAGATAGCTTCAAGACGGCCCAGGAGGGTTCGACTTTCGCTCCTCAGAGGGCCCCCAAAAGGCAACAATAACATTGATTTACCATGGGCTTTTCAATGTTTTGGGGAACATCAATTTTCGAGCTTCCGACGCTCCCCGACGGCCCAAATGGCCTCCGAGACCGCCCCCAAGACGACCCAAAAGACCCCCAAGACCGCCCCAAGACGGGCCAGGAGGGACCCAAGACGGCCCCAAGAGGGGCCCAAGACGGCCCAAGAAGAGCCGCCCAGACAGCCTTCGCGACGTCACAGTGACATCAGAAGGTTGCGAGATGTCCCGCGGGCTTCCGGGCAGCCCCAGATAGCTTCAAGATGGCCCAAGAAAGCTCCACTTTCGCTTCCCAGAGGGCCCCAGATTGCAAACACAATGTATTTACAATGCTTTTTTACAATACCCTGGCAACGTACCCAACCCTTGCGCAATGCGGGGCATAAGTGCATCAGGATTGCTACAACGGGGGCGACGACGTAACATGGACGCATGTGAGTTTGCGAGCAACAATCGGACGGCTCGCAGGCCCCCGATCAATATCTAATGGCTACGTAATAACACATCACCCCCGTCGGCTGTGCCATGCGCCCGTTGCACCCAGCGTATCCCACAGCAGCTCTTGAGAGCCCCCCAGGGACGGCGAGGTCTCGCTCAGATCCCCGCGGTGCCTCACTCCGCAGGACCCACCAGCAACCCTCGGAAGTGGCGACAGTGTCGCAGATCGCAGCCCCCCAGGGACGGAGAGGTCTCGCTCAGATCCCTGCGGTGCCTCACTCTGCAGGACCCACCAGCAGCCCTCGGAAGTGGCGACAGTGTCGCAGACCGCAGCCCCCCAGGGATGGCGAGGTCCCGCTCAGATCCCCGCGGTGCCTCACTCCGCAGGACCCACCAGCAGCAACACCGAGATCTAGGATCATCTTCCCCATGTGGAGGCAACCCCCTGTGTTGGTGTTGGTGCCAATTTCCAGGCCTCCGAAGAGGTAGTAACAAAAACAGTCAGGGGACGATTTGTTGGTTGCTTTTGGGGCATTTGCTGGGTGTTGTTCGACTACTTCTTCTTTGCCGTTCAAAATCCGGCTGTAGGAGGACACGCCCGACCAAAGTTTTTTATGGCTGAACGCCGCCCGCGGCCCAGAGTCTCAGGCCCAGAGGTTGACACCAACACCAAGATCGGCGGTGTGCCTCCCCCGAGGGAAGACGATCCCGATCTCGGTGATGGTGGTCATATTTTGGTTCCCAAGGTGACCGAAGTATTACCACCAACACCGAGATCTAGGATCATCTTCCCCATGTGGAGGCTCCCCCCTGTGCTGGTGTTGGTGCCCATTTCCAGGCCTCCAAAGAGGTAGCAACAAATAGTCTGGGGAAGATGTTTGATTGTTTTTTTGGCATTTGCTGGGTATTGTTGGACTATTTCCTATTTTTCGTTCACAATCCGCCTGTAGGAGGACACGCCCGACCAAAGTTTTTTATGGCTGAACGCCGCCCGCGGCCCCGAATCGGCCCGTCGTGGAACGATCCGGCATTCGCGGAGCGGCCGATCGTTCAAGCCTGAACGATCCCCGCGGTGCCAGAAGCCAGCGCCGGGGGGCGACGCGGCGCGGACCTGCCGTACAGGGGGGCCGCATGCCAAGAGACACCCTGCTTTTGCCTCCAGGGTGCCTTGGCTTTCTTGGGTCTCGATGGTTTTGCTGTGGAATTACCAGCCTGGAACATATCCCTATCCCTATACTGGGCACCTCCTCATCACGATGCCAATCTTAGGGATTCCCTTATTTTCTGAGGGCGAATCCCTAAGATTGTCATCGCCTTTTGGCGTGTCAATCTTAGGGATAGGGATACGTTCGAGGCTGGTCATGGAAATCGTGTCGTTTTCACACCAAACACTAATGGACGTCCTGGGGTCTCAGGGTTGGCTTTCCTGTGGAAGGTTTCCTGTGGACTGGCCTCCACTGTGTGCCGGTGCTCGCGGGGCATCCCGCCTCGGGTCTTCGGCGAGTGACGGCAGCATGCCGCGGCCGCCAGGCCACTTGGGTGCTGGTGCTCCCCAGACATGCCGCCTCGCGTGCTCGGGGGGGATCGCTCGAAGCAGCATACCTTTTGTCGGTGGTTCAAAGATGGGGTCCTGAGCGATAGGGTCCTGAGGCCGAGGTGCCTCAGACAACGTAGATCCACCCGTGGATCCCTTCTGATCCTTCGGCCCCCATCCCCCAGGAGCCCATCTTTGAACCCCCGATGTTGTTCCTCTGAGGCAAGCTCCTGGGGGCTGGGCTGGCGCTGCTGCCAGTTGCGATCGGGAGCCTGCGGAGGTTCACGGACCAGGTCTCGGATCAGAGCATCGCCTCCCTCTTCTCGGCGGCGAGCACGGGGGGGGAAGCGAGAAGGGGCGTGCCTGCTCAGAAGGCTCGGGAATTCTAGGCCTTCCGAGAAGTTACGTGAGCTTTTTTTCCGAAGACGCAGACAACTTCTCAGAGGGTGCGAGGGCGCCTGAGAGGTCCTGCCGCCGAGCAACACACCCACGCGGACCTCCGTGAGGCTGTGTTTGCCGAGGCGGCGGAGCAGGAGGAGGAGGCGGAGGAGGAGGAGGAGGAGGAGGAGGAGGAGGCGGAGCCGGAGGAGAAGGCGGAGGCGGAGGAGGCTCTTGCTGACTCCCCCCCTGGCTCGCCGCCGGTCTTCCCCGTCCTGGTCCGCTACCTCAAAGTGGATGCGCGCCGCTGCGCGGGGAGGCACGGCCGGTCGGGCCCTCTCACCTTCCCGCGCTGCGGGCGGAATCATTTCGAGATGGGGGAAATAGGCACAGACTTTTCGGCGTCGCTGCCCCGCACGCGGCGACGTGGCGTAGAGAGTCGAGCGCAGGCAATGGAGGGCGCGCGTCTACGCAGGGTCTCGCAGCCGGCGACAAGCACGACCATCTTGGCTTGAAGCATGTGCGCAAACACACACAAACGCTGCCTTCCATGCAAACGTGGAAAAGGAGGGGAAGAGGAGACTCCAGGAGACCTGGGTGAAATAAGAGACATCCTGACATGCGTGCCGATCTGGTTGTGCCTCCCTTGGGCCCACTGCTGCGGGCACGAAGTGGAACGAGGAACACACACCTGCATAACTTGTTCGGGACTCCCTGCGCGCCTGCAGCGCCGCCCCTGGTGCACCTCCAGCGCGCCAGGGAGGGGGGGCCCGCGCTGGTTCCAGACATCCGCGTGGCCCTCCGAGAGTTCTGTTCAGGGCGTTTTGTGTTCCTCTACGACTGTGGCGACGCTCTAGCGTGCTTCCTTCTGTCCACACCCCCACGCTTACCCATCCGTCGTTGAAAGTAGGTATTTTGGGCTTCCCAGAACCCAATATACTTCAAGCGCCTTCCTAAATCAAGAATCGGTATGCTTTTGCTGCGTGTTGTTACTCTCTGGGCGGGCCCGAACCCAATCTACTTTATCCCGCCTTCCTACCTAATGTTTCTACCTACTTCTTCCGACCGATGGGCAACTCTGGCCTTTTTTCCCTCATCGGCAACTCCTCGTCGCGCCACCACACGTGCCAATGAGGAGACCTGGCGTTTTCGCTGGTGCGCCTTCGATATCGGGGCCAGGGATGCTTCGTTCCTCACGTGCGTGCTCCTGGAGGCAAAGTGTCGACTGCTCGGGGGAATGGGGCGCAGTCTTGCGCGACCGATGGCCCCGACGGGGCTGGCGGGCTTCCCGAAGTTCATGCGCGACCACCGGCAGCATCTAAAGACTGGCCAGGAGAGCGGGTCAGGATCAACGTAATGGAAGTCGGCAGCGAGCCCAGGGGAGAGGTGAGATGCCTGCTCAGCAGGTGGCGGGGATTTTCAGAAGCCCTGGCGCCTTTCTGGAAGCTTTCGAAGTTTTCTCCGACAGAGACGGCTTCTCGTAAGGCCAGAGGGCTTCTGAGAAGCCCCGCCGCCTTCGGAGAAGGCCTGCCCCATGTCACTTCCCTCCTGGGCTCGCCGCCAAACCCTCCCCCCTCCCCCCTCCCCCTTCCTGCCTCCCCCACCTCCCCGCTCCCCTCTGCTCCTCCCATCCCCTCCTCCTCCTCCTGCCTCTCTACCCCCGTTCCTCACCTCCTCCTCCTCCTCCTCCTACTCCTCCTCCCCTCCTCCACTCATCCTCCTCCAACTCCTCCTCCTCCTCCTCCTCCCCCTTCTCCCCTCCTCCTCCTCCTCCTCCTCCTCTGCTCCTCCTCCTGCTCCTCCATCCTCCTCCTCCTCCTCCTCCTCCTCCTCCTCTCCTCCTCCTCCTCCTCCTCCTCCTGCGCAAACATTCACTTTCGGATTGCTCGCGCGGATTGCTTCGGTCGGCGCTTGGGCTCCCCCTGGCGGCGCCTTCGGCGCCGCCCCTGGGGCGCTGCGCGCGCCATGGAAAGGGCGGTGGCCCGGGCGGGGGAGGAGGAGGAGGAGGAGGAGGAGGAGGAGGAGGAGGAGGAGGAGGAGGAGGAAGGAGGAGGAGGCGGAGGCGGAGGCGGAGGAGGAGGAGGAGGAGGAGGAGGAGGAGGAGGAGGAGGAGGAGAACTGCTGCCAGGCACTCTTTTTGGGAGTGGGTCTTGGGCGCTGTGAGCCTCACGGAGCTTGAGGCTTGCTTCCGTAGCCATTTTGTCTCAAGCCATTGTGGATCAGGCGCCTCCATTTGGCCCGCATTGCATTCTGGATCGAACGAAATAAGCAAGTCCAGACAACCCTCCACACACACGTTTCCATATCTTTATAATCGCGACAGCGCGGAGGGGGGATGAGCATGAGGATGGCAAGGCTGCTCACGGTGAGTGGCCTGGCCATGTGCCCCGGCTCGGCCGTCCACGTCGCGCTGGCCTCTGCGCGCCCGCCAGAGGGCGCGCAGAGCGAGTTGCTGGACCAGGCGCTCGCGCTCGATAAGCTGGACCAGCTTTTGGTCCGGCTCCGATCACGCGCCCGCGCCACAGAAGCCTGGCCGCCCCGGCGCGAAAGCCGCGGCCCGCGGCTCGCCTGCCAGGTGGGCCAGGCTCCAGGCGGTAGGCCACTTCGACAGCGGGACCAACCTGCTGACCGCCCTCCTGCACGTGAACCTGCCCGAGGAGGTGGTGGACCACGCATGTCCAGTGCTCAAGAAAGGCATCGTCAGCTGCACATTCTGGAAACACGCGCCCCCGGTGGCGCTGCCGTCGGAGGTGAGTGCCATGTTCGTCGATGGATGGGTGACGAACAGTGCGGCCGGCGTCGGAACTGCGCCTAAGGCCTGGCCGCCGAAGGATTCGAAGAGGGACGTCGTACTGGTGGCGATGGTGTGGAGCCCCATGGGAATCGCGCACGGCATGACCAAGGCTCCATACGATTTTAGGCATTGTGTTTATCGTGGCAACAACTGGTCGAACTACACAGAAAAGATCTGCCACCTTCGCAAGCTGGTAGACACACACGAGGACGGGCACCTTTACGAGTATCATGGTAGATTTGCCGGTCTCGCTGGAGTGTGGAACGACGATTATATGCACGCGTATCATTGGATGCAGCTCAAAGCTGAAGCTGATCCGAAGCTCAAAGTCCTGGTCGTCGAGTGCGAGAACCTCGTGTTTGACCCAGAGAGTGGTGCGACAGATAGCGTCGGCCATGGGGATAGACCTCAAGGGCCCGTTTGAGGGGCTCGACTTTGCGGCCAAGTCACACGGCTCGCCACATGGGCGCCGTCAGGCGTTGGATAGCATCGAGCAAATGAGTTATCCGAAGTCTTGGAAATTCCAAATGAAGCCGCTGGAGCACAAAGGTGCGCGAGAGAGGTTGTGCGCATACTTGCACCGAGGGTTGATGCAAGCCCACGACGCCTCGAATCAGACGCGCTCATACCTGGCCGACTGCGACTTCGCCCGCTGACCACTGGGCGCTCTGAACGTCCATGTCCTTTCCATTCTTCTTCCCCCGACTGACGCCCGTGCCTCGCCTCGTGCCCAGCTCGTCGTGGCATGCCCATGCCGTGCGCTCGACTCGTGCCTCGCCTCGTGCCTCGCCTCGTGCCTTCTTCGTCCCCCGACTGACGCCCGTGCCTCGCCTCGTGCCCAGCTCGTCGTCCCCCGACTAACGCTCGTGTGGTGCCAGCTCGTGCCTCGCGGCTCGGGCCCAGCTCGTCGTGGCAGGCCCATGCCCGCCCAAGCCTTTCTCCGCCGGCGGCCCTCGGCGCGGCCGCTGCCGGGGGCGCCTCCCGGGGCCCGGCCGCCAGTGGCCTTCCGACCCCTCTGTGCTGTGTTGGACGATCAATGGAGAGGAAGCATGCTGCCAAATAATTTCCAGATGTCTAGGACATGGGTTAACATTGTGTTGAACATGTAAAACACATGTTTTTACACCTTTCCAGAACATTTTTCCTACATTTTAAACACATGTTTCATTCGACGACAGGACTGTAAGGGTGTCCATTCTCGTGGCATCCACAACCCTTGCGACGAGGCGTCGGCGGAGGCGGCGGTCTTCCTCGAGGCCTCGGGCGGCCAGCCGGTCCCTGGGCCGGTCGTCTTCTCCGCCGCGCCGCCAGTCCTCCAGCGGCGCCGAGCTGCGGCTCGCTCTGGAGCAGCTCCGTCGCCGAGTTTGCTCAGCGCCGCTTGAGCTGCCCAGCGGCCACCACCGAGCTGCGCCGCCCCCCGCGGCGAGCCGTCGTCGGCGAGGGGAGAGGACTCAGAGGCGACGATCAGGGCGAATAGCGCAGGGGAGAGCAATGCGTGTGGTCGGGTGCGCCGATGATGTGTGTCTTCTAAAAGGGCTCCCGGGCGAATGCGTGTAAGGCCCGCCCCGGGGCTATTCGCCCCTGTCGTCGCCGCCGAGGAACACCGACCTCGGTGGCGCTGAGGCCCAGCGCCCGACGGCGGGCCGTCAGACGAGTTCGAGACTCGGGCCCGCGGCCCTCCGGGGGGTGCGGACCCCCCGAGGCGCCGGCGGCCGGCGCCCTCCTGCGCGGCACCTTTCTTCTAATTTCTAAGGGAGGCGGAGGGCGGCCCGGAGGGGCCGCTCGCCGTCCCTGGCGCCCCGTCGCGGCGCCTCGCCCCGCGTCCCGGCTCCCTCTTCCCCCCCCCCCTGCCCGTTTCCCATTGTCCCCCCCCTCCCTCCCGTTCGCCCTGGAGCGCCCGCCGCCACCGAGGCCCCGCGGCTCCGCCGTGTGCCGCGCCCCCTTGTGCTCGTGTGCGCGCGCCCGCCTTTGCGGGCGGGCTGTTGCGCAGCCTGGTTGCCCACCAGATCAGCACGCACGAGGGTGGGTGGCAGGGGGGATCTTTTCTCAAGCTCTTTTGACCCTCGCGAAAAAAAGTATAGAATAGCACGTATTAAAAAAGCGCTGAGCTTGAGGCGTGCTGACCCTGGTTGACTCTTCGGCGCATCCGATATTACGCAGTGGTCATGAGTTTAGAGCCTTCTTTTCTCCAGGACGATAACGGACGTCACTGGGGGGGGAATGTGGCCGGTGACGTCACGTCTCGCGCTGGCGGCGTCTGGGAAAACTTGGGTATGACCGAGGACGGGTAGCACCAGCACGTATGTGACGATCCGCACCACAGCGCTTGTGTGCGCCACAGCGCCTGCGCGCACCACAGCGCTTGTGTACACCACAGCGCCTGCGTACACCACAGCAGCCGGGTTCAACGCTGCACCAGTGTACACCATAGTGTAGGTACACCACGGCGCCTGTGTGCACCACAACAACCGTGTGCAACATAACACCACTGTTGTCTATCTAATGTTACGAGGAATCCTTATGACACAATGGAGCGCCTGTGGATTCCACTGAAGACAACTGCCCTTTAGAGCATTTAGGGAGGACTTGTGGAAAACGGAGCGCACCTGGAATCTACGAGCCCTCCCGAGTCCTCCCGCATCATCCTAACTCCTCCCATCTGCGTCCAGAAGGCTCCCGCAGAGTTGGCCGTCTGAGAACCAAGTGGACTGATTCAATTGACAAGTTATTCCGGGATGCGCACTGAGATGCGCACGCGCGCTGAAGCGCCGACCCGCACGACGGGGCGAAAGTTGAGGGAGGAGGAGAAGAATGAGGAGGTCGCGTGGTGTCTAGCTGTCTAGCTATCCGCAGCAGATCCTCACCTACATCCTCTTTCCACCTGTCCAGTGCACGCAGACGCTGTGGTATACCCCAGCGCTGTGTTGCACGCGGATGCTGGGGTGTGCACAGGCGCTATGATGTGCACAGGCGCTGCGGTGCACGCAAGCATTGTTTACACAGGCGGCGTGTTTCAGACGGCTGCTGCGGTGTACACATTCGCTGTGTTGTACGCAGGCGATGTTGTGCACGCAAGCACTGAGGTGTACACAGGCGTTGCGTTGCACACGGCTGTTGCGGTGTACCCAGGTTCTGTGGTGTACACGCGCTTTGTTGTGCACGCGAGCACTGTGGTGTACACAGGCGCTGCGGTGCCGATCGCCACCTACACAGTGCGTACAGTCTGAACAGGCGTATGAACGTATGAGCACGAGTATGGCTTATCATGCCGGGTTGGATATGAGTGAGTATGAGCGGACGCGATTATTTCCGATGCGTCTGCGCAGGTGATTGAGAACAGTATGAGCGCGTGAGTGTGAATGAGTACGAGTGTTGGGAAGGAGTCATGATCGTCGGAGGCGCGCCGCTAATAACAGGAACGTCATTCGGGGAACCCACATGGTCAGGCGCACACTCAATGTTCTGGGCCCTCCCCAGGAGACAGGAAACTACGTCCCGGGCGTGTGCCACTACTACAGCCTGATGTCGGACGTCATCACGCTCACCAGCGGGCCTTTCTGGCACTTCGTGCCGATGTACGCAGGTGTCAGCAGGATGGATTGCCACCATAGGTGCTACCACTCGGTGCGATCTGGAGGAGGAGGGCGCAGGAGTAGGAGGAGGACGGAGGAGACGGAGGAGGACGAGAAGGGAAGGATGAGAGGAGTGAGTGGCGGAATGGGTTGGGAGGGGGGAGAGGGGAGGGGGGAATGGTGCAGGCAGTCGCGTTGTGGGGATTGTGACGGTGGCAATGGTGTCAGCGACGGGGAGGAGGAGGTGGTGACGAGAGCGCCGAGGTTTCACGACGTCATGGCGAAGTACCTGGATGCCAAGCCGACCGACCGCATCCTGGAGGTTGGCTGCGGCTTCGGCGAGGCTGGTCGTCAGGTGGCCCTGCGTTCGGGCGCCAAGGTCACAGGACACTCGCTAGGGGGGTGGGGGGGGCAGCAGGGGGGGGTGGGGGGGGAGTGGGGGAACGGGAGGAGGGGATGGAGGAGAATGTTCGAAGGGAAGAGGGAAAGAAGAGGAGGAGGAGGAGGAGGAGGAGGAGGAGGAGGAGGAGGAGGAGGAGGTCCGTGCCAGAAATGCGAGTGTGAGAGTCTCTGGGGCTCCAGCAGTGTCGAGAGAGGTCGTTCGATCCGGGCCGCCCGACTGGAGTCGGAGTAGACAGGGTCGACGTTAGGCGCCGCATCGCCCATGCAGCAGCGATGCGTTTACATCCCAAACTCGATTTTTTCCTTTCGGCGGCCAGCGAGGGGGGGAAGTGCGAGGGAGAAGGCCTGCTTAGAAGGCGGCGGGACTTCCCAGAAGCCCTCGCGCCTTCGGAGAAGTTTTCTGTGCCTTCGGGCAAGGCTCAGGAAACTTTTCAGCAGGCCGGAGAACTTCCGAGCCTTCTGAGGAGGCCCGCCCCCTCTCGTCTCCCCCCCCGGCTCGCCGCCCATCTGCGACGC